GTCACTGATTTGTAGAAATCGAACTATTTTTATTAATTTAGATATCTAGAAGCAATGTAAACTGTATATACTTAAAAAGATTCTAGGCACTTGTAACTTTGCGGATGTGCGGCAGCATTGATCTATGCATGGGGGTACCGTGGACTGGGGAGGAGAAAAACGAAAGTAAAACCTTACCCAGAAGCTCCCGCCATTCCTAGAGATTCCAGTATACAAGTCTTTTTTAACATACTCAAAGTAACTAAAACTCTCTCTGAAGTTCTGAACTTGCTCAGTCGATGTAAAAAGAAAGTTGAAAAATGAAAAGAAACGAAGTAAAAAAAGAAACTTGAAAATAACCATACCATCATTACCATGAGTATAATTCTTGATTTCCTGTCTTTGTCATGTTACCTGACTATGTGTACTGTGTAGTGCATGTCTGTCTGTGTGAATGAAATTGAATAAGAATGTGATTGGTTTCTTAGTCAAGTGAAATGAGATTTAAAAAAATGTGATCGAATGACGATTTCTTAACACTGATAGTCTGATACTGGTGCCGAGTGCGCGCTGAATGCTGATGAATGATATTAGAGTCAGTGCATCAAAATTATAAAAATTTTAACAAAATCATGCTATGAAAAAGTAGCTCTGGCCAAGCCTAAAATAGCTCCCGTAAAAAAAATTACGAGAGCTCTTTTTTTCATACAAAATCAAAAAAGAGCTCTCGTAAAAAAAAAGTAATTTTTAGGCTGATGTGCGTGCATGCAGGTGCGTGCGTGTGTGTGTGCATGCGTGCTTGTACGTATATATATATATATCAAGAGTACATAATTGATATGTACAACTCTATTATGTACTCTTGATATATATACATATGTACACAGACACACACAGGCATGAACACATACACAGTCTCCTGTATGAGGTACCGGTAACAGCCGCCATGAAGACTTGGCAAAAAAACATGGCGCATTACTGCTATTTCCTCTGAATGTACTGTGCGTAGTTTATGTGTGTAAGTACCTACCGCCTGCGTACACGCCCTGCGCGTTTCCGTTTTGCACCACCAGGTGGCGAACCCTCGCATGTACGAGCTGAAGGACGAGCGGACGGACACGTACGTGCGATCCATCACCGAGAGCATCAACCCTAACGTGAGTGTCGAGGTAGCGGAGATGTAGACGCGGCGATAGGTTGTGATTGTGGGTGACGTTAGGCTCAGTAGGGGTCATGGTAGATGGGCCAGGCCATCCTTAAAAAATTCCATGTGTGCTGTTCCCCGACCCATGATTTTTTTACTGGGTAGGTAGGTAGGTCTTTTTTTCGTGTGTGAGGCATAATCGTTATTTTAAGTCTGTCCTCATGTTTGCCACACAAGCTTTGTGTTTCATTCTTAACTATGAGGAATGAAAAAAAAATAAAAATATGGAACCGAAAATGTCAAAAAAAACGTTTGGGTCGCGACTATTTTCGTGGGTCGGTCGGAGGACAGCAAACATAGAATTTTTTAAGGATGGCCCCAGCTTGATGAGGGTAGTATATTGTGATAGTGGCACGAAGCTATGACAGGGGTCACCTTGTCGCTGTCGGATTTCTTCCATCTGATTTTGTTGTCGTTCCCCTCTATTCTGGCACGCACAGGTCCAGATAGTAGATTGCAATGGTGGCTGGGGGTTTGGCAGCCTACCGGTCGTTGTCAGTGGTTTGCGTCTGACTTTGTTCCCCTTTGTTCTCTCAGGTGCAGATGGTGGTGCTTATCTGTCCAACGTCCAGGGATGACAGATACGCAGCCATCAAGAAGCTGTGCTGCCGCGACATGCCAGTGCCGTCGCAGGTGAGTGTGCGCTCATATGTTACTCCCTCAACGCCTCCTCCTCCTCCTCGTCCGTGGCCTGTAGGGGCCCTCCTGTTGTCATTAACAATATTTAGTCTTAAAATTATAATTAAAAATAAATAATAAAAAATATTAAAAAAAAAAAAATTTAGTCTTAAAATTAATCTTGACGTTGATTTTTTCAACAAAGTTTTTTTTCAAACGAATTTTACATGAGAGTTACAACGAACTTAGACATGCCAGTCTTGACAATAGTCTTGACGTTGAATTTTTCTCCTAGATTGTTGACAAAAACGTGGTAAGGTTACAACAACATTGGTCTTAAAATAATTAGTCTTGAAGTTGACTGTTTCAGAAATTAGAACAGTTAATGGTCAGAAGAAGACCATTAACAGAAATGTAATAAAGTTGCATCAAAATCGGTTAACGTTAACGTTTTCTCATTCATCGTCTACAGAAACGCGGTGAAGTTACCAAGTTTCTCGTACGCTCTGCGTCGGGAGTACGATAATGCATCGTTTGCGCATCGTATTCACGATTTTTAATTATTAATCTGGTAATTTTAATTAATCTTTTACTTTAATCTTTTCCCTCGCGATCACGGCATGCACGTCGTTCACGCGCGATCAAATTCGACGAATTCCGTGTCGATTCTTTCGCGCGCGGTCACTCTGACGTGTCGTCGTCATGGTTACGTTGCAGGTGATCAACGCAAAGACGATATCTATGCAGAACAAGCTTCGTAGCGTCGCTCAGAAGATAAGCCTGCAGATGATGTGCAAGATGGGCGGAGAGCTGTGGAGCCTGCAGATCCCACTGGTAGGTGGTCCAGTGGGTGGCAAGCTGTGCAAGCGCGTAGCCAGGGGGGGTCCTGGGGGCCCTAGGAACCCCCCCAATCAAAATCAAAATCCAAAAAAAAACGCCCTTGAAGCTGTGTGTAGAAATACGTGTGCATGTATGTGTATATATATACGTGTGTGTGTGTGTGGGTGTGTGGGAATGCGCGTGTGTGTGAGTGTGTGTGCGTGTGCGCGTGCGTGCGTGCGTGCATGTGTGCATGTGCGTAAGCGAAAAAAATACACGGGAGCGGCGAGCGATTTCGCTCCCGTCAGCTTTCAAAGCGCTCTGGTAACAACAATTACGAGAGCGAAAATTTTGGAAGATACGAGAAAAAATCGCTCCCGTGCCGCCGGCAGCGTTAGAAATTAGTCCGACCCGGAGGCACCCACCAAGTTTTTGCTTGTGCCACCATCTCTACGAACAAAAACTCGTGACAGTTAGTCTAAGAAATCGATTGTGGCATCACCGGCATGCCAGTGTTTTTATG